GCTTGTGGAATAGTACTACCGACAGACAGGTCGAAGTTTGCCTAGAAAGAAGGGGAATTAACCAACTGAGTCAGACTAGAAGTGTCTGACACAGCGGCAAGTTGAGTGGTGTTGTGTTTGTCAGCCAGATGCTCTAGCTCTCGGAGATCCTCAGTACTTGGGGGATCCTCCTTATCCAGCTGCTCCAACATAGTCAAGTTGTGATCCAACATCTGCTTACCATGATCTTTTAGGAACTGCTGTTGCTTGAACAAGCGAGCCACTTTGGCAGCAATACGGGCCTGTTTAGTAAGGGCCTTAGCGAGTTTGTTTTGTATATCTGATTAATTGTGTTTTAAATCATTCTACTTCCTATCACTGTGAAATTATTTTTCATATTTCCGGCCATAATGAGTGCAGGCAGCACAATTTCGGCTTTTTGAATCTATGATATAAGAAATATCTCTCAGGAAACAATGTTTGCAGGAACTTTTAATAATAAAACTATTATTATAAATCTTATTAGACTGATAAATATATTTCTTTACCTGATCGTGATTAGCGCAACGACGAGACATGATGGACTATCATAAAAAAAAGAGAAATTAAGAAAACTTAACTGATACAGGAGGGACACGCACCTTTATGTCTCTTGAAAATAAGAAACCTTGAAGGAGGGGAAGTAATGTTACAGACCCCTGCTAGCCAGGCTACTAGTAGAAGCAGACTCGTCAGGCAGAAAGATAACAACCAGGAAGGACTCAGGCAGCCAGTAACTCTTATTAAGTAAGATCCTGGTTGGGATAATATCCAAAGTAACACTGTATCACGTGACTATCTACCATCAGATCTACTATTAAGAATATATGATATAGTATACGGAATCCAGGAACATGATTAGATCAATCCTTAATCTATCCTGAATAGTATACGAAATGGTATACGAAGGATAGGATATAAGGACACTCTTTTATATATTTAGCTAGTTCTATTCTTCGTGCTCAATTCCAATTATCTTTAAGTAACCTATATTTTGGTAGAGCTTAGTAACAACACTCATCCGCACTTACTTACAGATAGCTACACAGCACTATCTAGCCTTACTTCTCTTCTTCTGTTCAGATCAAGTCACCTTTAGATAGTCAATAACCTGACTACCTTTGATTCAGTTCACAAGGTACGTATCGGAACGGGAGCTAAGCTAACAGGAACAGGGAGAAGCGATCCTAGGGTTTGACATTAAGGCTCTGTTCCAGCAACATTTATCTTCTGGCTAATCTTTGATAACTGATAATAATAGTCTGTATTATCTCGTCCATATGTTAAACAAACTTTTAAATAATAAGAACATCTCTGTAAATATTGTTTCCAAGTCTTATTTTATGATTTTCAATATTTTAAATCCTAATATGGGCAATGCTATATGATTATCTTAAGCTTTAAGCAGAATTATGCTGGATTTTCTGAGATCTTTTTCAAAATATAGTCTAATTAATAAGTAATATTCTCTTAATTGTTCTTCTAGTTTTTCTTGTTCTTGTCTTGCTATAATAGACAGAGTTTACTAATTTCTGATAAGGGTTTTTTAGGGGTATCAGATATCTTACTAAGTCTTTTCTTACTAGGTTTAAGATCTTTAAGTAATATACTATATTTTTTATCTGATAGTTTATTTTCATCCTAAACTATACTAGAATAATTGTTTCTCAGAACTAGCTTATAACTATTATTATTAATTTCTATGGTCCAAACTAATAGTACAGATAATTATTAATTCTCTTATTAACTAGATAGTACTGTTAACTTATCTGGAATGGCTTATTATCTTAATTAATCATAATATGTCCTATCTTCTAATAGCTGATCATGCTAAATAGTATGTAGCTTTTTATTATCTAATATCTGCATTACAGATTCCGTCCAAACTTTATGCTGAATGGCGGTGATATTATAGACTCCTCTGCCTTGATCTGGGTTCGTAGCTCTTAATTACTTCTGAGGCTGTTTCTGACTACAATCCTTTGACTAGTGACCTGCTTTGCCGCAGCTGAAGTACAAGCAGTCTTGTTTACACTGTTTGAGTTTCTCCTTGGACACTTGAGTCTGTTAAGTCTAATACTGTGCAGCATCCAGCTCCATTGGTTTTAGTCTATAGAGATCTTCGTATCCCAAGCTCCTAGGTTGTGCCGACCTTCTGTTGTTAGCTCGGTAACCTGGCTAATTACTGTATTAAGATATAGATCCACTAGTCTACTGATCCTCTTATCGTTTTATGTTGAAGTTATATAACTTATTATCGATCTTAACTGCTGTTTTAATCATCTTGACTAAGGTGTCCAGTTGTTCTTGCCAAATGATTTTCTCTTGGATCTCTATCTTAAGTCCTTTTTTAAATCATAAGATATAAGTATTATTATTTTAATCTAGGTGACTGATGACTTGCTGAAACTCTGAAACATATATAAATATTAATCCTATCTATTTAAGTTATTATAACTTTTACTCAGTATTTCGTGCCGTATTAATATCTCTAAATATCTGTTTAAAATACTGCTTAAATCTGGTATAACTAGTAAAAAATTGTTTTATATCATTGTTCTAATTACTTACTGACTTTTCTTATCACTCGCGGATATATAGTTTGAACTAATTAAATACTGCTCTGGTAAGATAAGTAGATGTAAAAAAGATCTTGTTTTTCTTATTCTTAAGCTTTTTCTTGTTCATGTTAAGATATAGATCTAACTAGATCAAGAAAGCCCTAAGCTTCGCTCATTTGCTGTCAAATGGCTCGGATGATCAGACCTTAACAGATTTGACTGATAAGCAACCTTCAAGTAACTGGTTCTTTTGTTTTAAGACAGTGATGCTTTCTTATAACTGATTAACTATATTTATTAGTTTCTTGATTATCAGGCCCTGCTGCTGAGGCGCACGCGATGTGTTCGATGTAGTCAATATAATGACTAGTTATCACTGAGTAATACTCGTACTGACTGGTGCTCAATGTATTAAATCCTAGGATTGCTTCTTCCTGTTCCTATTAGCTTAGCTCCTGTTCCGATACGTACCTTGTAAACTGAATCAAAGATAGTCAGGTTATTGACTATCTAAAGATGACTTGATCTGAACAGAAGAAGAGAAGTAAGACTAGATAGTGCCGCGCAGCTATCCGTAAGTAAGTACGGACAAGCGTTGTCACTAAGCTTTATCAAAATATATGGTTACTTAAAGATAATTGGATTGAGCATGAAGAACAGAACTAGCTAAGTATATAAAAGAATGTTCTTATATCCTATCCTTCATATACCATTTCGTATACCATTCAGGGTAGATCAAGGGTCGATCTAATCATGTTCCTGGATTCTATATACCATATCATATACCCTTAATGGTAGATCTGATGGTAGATGGTCACGTGACACAGCGTTGCCTCGGGTGTTACCCTAACCGGGATCTTGCTCAATAAGAGTTGCTGGCTGCCCGAGTCCTTCCTGGTCGTTACCTTTCTGCCTGACAAGTCCGCTTCTGCTAGCAACCTGGCTAGCAGGGGTCTGTAACAATTATGTGGTTCAGCATTACTTTTAATAATACTAAAAAGATCTGGAATATCTTTAGATTAAATAACTTAATGAAATTATTTATAGAATTCTTTATTTCTGTAATATATAATATTTTAATAATATTTTTAATAATTATATTAATAATAAAGAGATATTTATTATCTAACTATCTGATAAAGTAAGAGTAAGATTCTTAATATAAAATTATAAAAAGATTAGCTGAGTCTGTGAACACAGGGATCCAGTTATTAAATAAGATTATAAGATTAAATATTATTATTCATTTTTTAATATATAATATTTCTTTAATAGGATTATCATATATACAGAAATCTGTAATAGTAAAAGAAAGAATTAGTACTATTTATTTTTATAAAGCTTATAATATCAATAATCTTATATGAAATATAATATATTTTTCTATAGATTTACTATTTTTATAATCTGTATAGACTATATTTATAAAGATTTTTATACTTTTAATAAAATCTTTTTCAAAAATAATATTTAAATTAGTATTTATTTTTATATAGCAGTATACTATCTTAAGAGCTTTTATATCTAGCTTAACACAGATTTGAAATTACTATTATAAATAAAAAGTAAGATATTAAAAATGAAGATATAACTTTACTGTTAACTAATTTAATTAGTTAGTAAAACTTGGACAGATATTAATATTAATAATTAATACTGTTATATTAATATTAATAATTAATACTGTTATATTAATATAATTAAATCTTTTGTATAATAGTTGTTACGGACCCCTGCTAGCTGAATGAACTAGTGAGGCGGACTCATCAGGTAGAAGGCCACGTCCGGAAAAGCAAGGACTCTTATCGAGTAGAATCCCGATCTGAGTAACCGACGACCGGAGTGGTTACACAACACAGAATAGACGGACATGGAAATGACTCGCTATGGTTGTCCGCGTCCGTGGATTTGAGCCCGGAAAAAAGAACCAATGGGTTTGATATAATGGGAGGGATCTGTTAACTATAAATAATCTAAATAAGAGGACGAGCACTTCGTGGCCGCACCTTCCATCCTCCACAACGGGCTCTGCTTCTCCCAATCTCATCATTTCGCGCAAGATGATCTACTCGGTCTCCCTGATTAATTTCTAGGAGCTTGAAGCTCGTCTTACTTTCATTTCCCCCGAAAGTTTTCCCTTTCTGGTGTGGTGAATGCCTGGACTTGGGCAATGGGCAACGCAAGCGGCAAGCAGCGAACCAGGGGGCTGCAGATTCACAGAAACATTCACTTCACGCAATAACAGGAATCTATTCTAAGAAATGTTCCAAGTACTTCTCTGTGTTTCTCCCTACCCCTCCTCCTCACATTATCACCTTCCTGTTATCCCAACAGGAATTTGGTGTTCCTTCTTTTGAACCCATCTCCACACCAGCAACTGAGCCAACTGAGCCGTTCAGCTACCTCTTTCTCACAATCACAATGGCTTACGACCCTGAGTCAGACATCGATCAAGAGACAGCAGACCTTATTCTTCAACTGCAGCTCGAAGATGCCTGCCTGTATTTCGAAACCTCCGAGGGCAAGTCCCGAGAACCGACCGACGAAGAGATAGCGTTTCGGATGCAGCAAGAAGACCTCCGAAACGCCTCCAACCTCGCTGAAGATAAGCGCATGGCAATGAGTTTTTACTTCGCGGTTCAGGCTGATGGTCAAGCTATCGCTGATAGCGAAATGGAAGAGAAGATTGCTGCCAGAGACCGAGAACTGGCCCGCAACTGGAGAAACGACGATCAACCTGTCACTACGGAGGAACCTCAGCTAGACATTGACCCCAATTACCTTGACGATGAAATACTTGAGACGCTTCAGGCTCTTCACATGTCTGGGTCCTGCGGATACTTTGAGGCGGATGATGCAAACTCAGATAACGCCGAATCCTCTGCTTGGGCGGCTAAGCGAGCACCCAGTAAAACAACACTAATGCATCACTGCGTTGCCTGCAGGGAGGAAACGGAGTTCTACAATGTTCTCCGAGCTCCTTGTAATCATCAGTACTGTCGGTCGTGTCTCGAGGAGCTCTTTGAAGCAGCTATAAATGATGAGTCTCTGTTTCCTCCACGATGCTGCCGACAGCCTTTCGTTTTCAATGCTACCCGCATATTTCTCAAGCCTGACCTCGTGAAACGCTTTGAAAAGAAGAGAATAGAGTTCGAGACACCCAATAGAACATACTGCTATTCTCCTGATTGCTCAGCGTTCATTCATCCGTCAAACATCCATGACGATATCGCCACATGTCCTAAGTGCTTGTTCACAACGTGCACTTTTTGCAAAGAAAGAGCGCATATAGGCGACTGTCCGAACGACACAGCTATGCAACAGCTTTTGGAGACAGCACAGGAGAATGGTTGGCAACGCTGCTACTCGTGCTGGCGAGTGGTAGAACTACAGCATGGCTGCAATCACATAACGTCTGTATCCCTGCTTCGTTTTTCAACTTACTTCGGCGTCAGCTAACTGAACATATAAATTTATAGTTGTGGCTGCGGTGCACAGTTTTGTTATAATTGCGGTGGACGTTGGAGGACATGTGAATGCGCAGAATGGAACCAACATCGCCTCCTCACGCGTGCCTACGAGATTATTGATCGAGATGCAAATGATCCTGCTGTCCATACCCTAGCAGATGCTGCGCAAGCTAGGCCGGTGCCTGAACCTGCGGCTGCCGTCGAGCCTGTCAGGGTGTTTGTTGAAGAAGAAGAAGAAGAAGAAGAAGAAGAAGAAGAAGAAGACATTAATGGTAAAAAAAACATGCGTAGCATAACAGGCGCTGGTATTATTTAGTATAATTCACGTCCTTCTCATTCGTCACTTGTGCTGACATTGCGCGCTGGTGCCGCTCCCAGCTGACACGCTGAAAGGCCGCTCGAACCTTGTCAGCGAAGTCGTCCCAGTACTCCAGCTTGCCTATAAAATCGATCTTGTGAAGGCCGGTACCAGATGAATGACGATTACTCTTCGCAAGAGCTGGGAATGAATCCATGATGATATCCCGCGCAGTGAAGACCTGCGTGTTGTTTAAGTTATTCATCCTAAATTAAAGTACGGGCAAGTGGATTTTCAGGTGAGAGAAGAAAGAAGTATGGCGGGGGATCTACTACCAGGGAACAGTGGATGGTTTAAGTAGCAAAGCCCATTGAGCTGATGCCTATCTCTTTCTGAGTGATGGAAGCATAATGGCAGTGGACCATATTGGGCTTCCTCTACCAAAAGCTAACCATTTTCACGGCAGGTAATCAAACGATGTAATATAGGGTGAAAGTCTATTGCTCGTCCATATGTTCCTTCCAATACTCGATCAATTCCTCTTTGCCACAAGTGTCCACCAAGGGGCGATCAAACGTCCTTATCAGTCCCCAAGTCATAAGTTCCTCCCATGGATCCATGGAGAAGTCCTCTGCTGCCATCTCGGGATCGTGCTCGGCGTCTTCAAGATCCACAATGTAACTATACCAAAAGTCAGCTGGGTCTTGTTGGTCAGCAGGGAGGACACTTACCATTTTGTTCCATCAGGGTCCCAAATCAGATTGGGAAGGCGAGTTTCCGAGTGAATCAGTTGGAATTTTCTGAAACTCCTGTCCGCGTTCAACAAAAGCTCAGAGGACTTAACATTCAAGGTCATGAAAAAAAAAATGTATATGTAATGATAATTCAAGAAAAACAAGACGTACCATATTGCCTCTAGAAAAGCAAGCTGCACGCGGCGCTGCTCGGATCTCTCCATGTCATTATATTCACCTAATTCTTTTCCTGGAACTTTCTCCATGACAATGTACGCAATATACCCGCCCGGGAGCGCGCCACCGTGACTCTGCCGTCCAACAGACCAATCAATAAGCCTGGGTGTATGCTGGCAGCCAGCGTCTGTTAGGACCTGGAGATTGTGGATTTCGCGGTTGATCTCATTGCTGCATCGGCTGTAGTCGGGTTTGATACTCCAGGGGTCCACTCTACCTAAATTAGTAACATTGATTGGGCTTTCATAAATAAAGGCAGGAACACGTACTGCTTTTTTACCTTAATGATGGCAGGCATTCCAAGAGCAAATGGTGGCTTAATAGTATATACTTGGCGCTTTCCCTAATCAAACAAGTTCCAGAAAAAGCATCCATTCTCTCTTGCATCTCCCCACCAAGGTCCTTAACAGAATATGTCATTTCTGCCGGCCCTAAAAACTTAGGACAAGACCTTCAATATAATCGTTGAACTCGCCAATCAGAATCCTCAAGGATGAGCTAGAGCATGTGTGAGCGGCTTTGCTATGACGTGAGTACCATACTGGCGATTCGAACGATAATATCTTTCGTACCAGGTGTTCGTAGGTTATATTAGGGAAGGGAGCCACAGGTCTCGGTGAAAGCAGAGCATTCACATGCATTTGCTTTGTAAGTGCGCCATACATGGCCGAGCTGCACGTAAAATTACATCTCTGATCGCCGCTTAGGAGGGTGTTACATGTATCATGAAGTTGGCCAACTAATTTATCGATAGCTTCGTCCCTACCGACATTCATCGATGCTGCAATGCTATTAGCGTGTCACGGGGAGAGAACAGACAGTTTCTTAATCCTTACTTATGATATATCCCGGAATTGGAAGCCCCAGATTGCTAATCCCGTTGCCACAACATGACATGGCAGTTGAGGTAGCTTTTTTGAGCTGAGACGGAAGCCGGAAATACCAGGAAACCCACAACCACAGTATTAAATCCCGGCAATATGTTGTGGGAACATCTTCCTTCAGAGCCTCAATCCAAGTTCCCGCCAGCATGTCTACAGTTTCCCTGCAGTTATAGTAGTCGGCTAGAACAGCAACTTTTGCAAGTAACTCAAGGTTGAGTTGCCGGGGTATAACGTAGTATTGACCAAGAATGATTTGGAGTAGGATCATGAGCGCGTCAATATCCCAACTCTCCGCAGGAATCTCGACTGAGCCCTTTTGCAGATAATTAATGCTCTCCTCCCAACCGCCAGTGAGCATGTTCTTAAACACTGGTGAGACAAATATTAAATGTTTCGCGGAGACTTTGATGCGGAAGCAGTTTTCGTGCAGCGGATCACATATGAGTTCGGGCTCGATCGGTTTTTCGGCAGGTTGTTCTTCAGCTGGGATAGGTTCTTCGTCGGTAGCCTCTGTGGTAGGATCATCGGCAACCTCTGGGGTAGGTTCTTCGATTAGTATCGTTGAGAAATCAAATACTTTCGCAGGACGTTGGATAACATCCCAAAATTTCGGAAGAAGGGTGTGAGAGACCATGCCAGCAACCATAGTCTCGTCTGGTTGTGCAAAAGGAGAATTTGCATGGCGCAGTATTATTATCACCTCCCCGTCTGGATCAATAATACGAGTAGATTGATTTATAGCGGTTGTCGAATGCACTGGATGAAATCCTTCTGGGGAAAGAGTAGGGTTAGAAAAAGTGCAGAGATTAAAGGGATATCAAACTGGAAGTGCAAAGAATTAAAAAGGCCAGGGTTGTGTTTTCCATTTCCCGATAGGGTGAAAGCGTGGCAGTGGTTCATTGGTGTCTGTGTTGGCACCAACCTACCATGGCAATCGCGCCCGCCCTTCCGGACGAGCTAATCAACAAGACCCTTCACGACCTACCCATGTACCAGCTCCTGGACCTTTGTGGCCGGGACGTTAACCTCCGCGCCCGATGCGAGAGCCTGATTCTGTCTCTATTCGTGGCAAACTTCTGCTTAATGGCAACCCCCGCCAATGCTGCTCTTGTCTTGGTCAATGTGGCCTACAAGCCAACCTTGGAACACGAACGCCCGCTGAGCTGGGTCTGAAAGCCAGTATGTTACTATACTATGGAGCCATGAAGATTAAAGAAAGGGTGGAAACAGTCCGGCATGAGGATCATTACTCCGCACCGGGCACGGTGCCCGCGATGAGCGTGACCGCCGACCGGCAGAAATAAGCCAATCAGAATCATAGATCATTCACCACCAACACAACCGCAAGTGAAAGCCAATCAGGACTGTTGCAGAGTCACTCGGCAAGTAAATAAGGTAGTAAATGAGGGAATAGAAGGAAACAAATATTGAGATAATCTACTCTTACGGGGTGGCCTGGGCGAGAATTCAGCCTCTAGATAAGATCTTGCGCCTCTGTCTCTCCTTCACTCCTTCATCCTCTTCTAATTCTCATCTCACCAAACCCATACATATCTCGCCCGGGCAATGAGCTCGTGATTTCAACCCCCGCAAGCAGTGAGATGCTAAACACTGCCTCTTTTCTGACCAAGCCACATCGCTGTCGGATCCTCGGTGCCGCTGCTACAAGGCTACTCGGCCACACCAGGTGAGTGTTTCGAGACACTACCATGCTGAACTCCCGACAACACATGGCAACCTATCTAGGTTCATGTAATCACTAGACATCACGCTAACATATTCTCTGGCTTAGTTTCAATTGAATTGGGCAATAACTGATATTGCTATAACCATTCCCATTCTAACCGGTAAGGCCCCCATAGCACAGCTAGCTATAACTCACGACAGCAACACGCTACCCTTCCAGATTCCTATAGCAATTGAACAGAAAGCTAACCTCCTCCCTGAAGTAGGTCTCACCAGAATCGAGCCCGGACTGACATTGCTATGACATTGAGCGTCCGCGAGCATTTAGTGCAACCTTGCCCTTGTTCCAACGATTTCCCGATTGCCGCAGCTACAAGATAGCTAACAGGATACCAACCCAAGCCCACATCATGGCATACAACCAAGACAGCCCCCAGGCCATTAATCAGCCTGACAGCGGTACAGGTACTGACAGCAAGCAACCCGAACCGCGCACTGAAATGTCTCCTGGAGGCCTGCTGGATGAGATTGATTTCGAGCGATACATTATACAGGACATGGAAACAAATAATTTCTTATGGTCAGATACCGAGTTTGCGCAGCCCAATACTACCGAGCCAGAGCTGGAGTTGGCCTTCTTGACACTCAAGGACAAGCACGAACTCAGTAACACGCGGCTCCCTTTAGACAGCACCTTAGGTAATGTCCCTGTCCACACCTTTAGAGACCTTCTCGTGGAACCTAAGGCAAAGCACTAAATACTACCATGTGCTGATTATCTTGACTACTTTAAGCAGGCACATTCGATCACAGCCGCTACATTCGGGCCCGCGGTGGAAAAATTGATGCAGGCCTTTATCAGTTTGGAGAATCTCGGTCGTGCATATATCGCTGGTTTCAAGGAGTATTCGGAAACCGATGAGTACCAGAAGAGATTTCCCGAGTATCAGGAAGCGCGTGATTGAGTGAGACAAAACAAACTGTCAGGTGAACCGGCCAAACAACAAGTCCCATCGCGATACCCACACTATGGAAGTGCACTCCTGACATGCTACAACAGCCAGCATTGGCACCATGCGCTCAAAACCCTTACCAACAAGTTCTACAAGGAGTAAGACGGTATTGGCGCCCTTAATCGTGCTATCCTGAACCGTGTTCAGAAGTCAAAGAAAAGTAAACATGGCCGCAAGGGGCAGAAAACCACAATCTCACTTAGCACGGTGGACCTTGAGCAGGCATTGAAGATTGCTGGCCAGCAATGGTCAATCCCGTCTCCCGAGGAGATTACAGCGGAAAGCCTCTTCATTGACCGCGTTCAAGGTACTCTGACCAGTGTACCCGAAAACTCGCAATCATATGCTGAAACCATGGCCTCAGAATCCCCAGCCCTTACGCCTCAGCAGTCCAGTCGCTACATCTCACTTGCTTCCAGGCCGACCCCTTTGGAGCGCCAGCATACACCGGACAACGCTCGTTCAGAAACTCCGCCCGGGCACCATGCCTGGCATGAGACACCTGCTCCTAGAACCCCGATTGCGGCCGTGGGGACTCCCCGCTCTGGCTCGCGGCAGGGCACGCAGTTTACCCTGGTTAACCAACGCCTCCCGGGCAGCCTTCCACCCTCTCCGACGCTACCATGTGCCACAACCAATGCTTGCGAACAGCGCGAGCCATTGGCATCTCCCATGGCTGAGGAGCCACCCACCCTGTTGCAATCTGGGCACGGTGCCCGGGATGAGACGCCCGTGCCCGCGCGCCCAACCACCGCCGAGAGCAATTCCACCCCGGAGAGCCCAATTACGGTCCCTTCCACGTCTGGAAACGGTCCCCAAGATAAGACGCCCCTGCTCGTGAGCTCAAACACGACCTCGCAAAATAACAAGCGCGCAGATAAGGCGCCGACCGCAGGTTCAGAAATCGGGGTGACCGACTAAGAAATCTTGGAAGAGGAAGACCTGCATGCTGAAGAGGGGCCATATCTATGCCTTGCTTCCAGCATATTTGACCAAGCCCTACAATCCCAAATTGAAGAAGAGGCCAACAAGAGGCATCTGCTTGGATGGACTACTGAAAGAGCACAGCAGGCCCGAGTGAACTTTCTTAGGAAGCTGGCAAAGCCGCTGACTGAGGCAGAGCAGGATAACAGCCAGATCTGCTCACGGCATCTGGATGAGATCCGCAGAGCCACTGGCCTCTCTAGGCGGGTTACGAACCCAGAGCTTCTCCATCAGCTTGCAGCCCTTGCCAGCAACTATAACAGTGTGGAATCCTGGGATGAATATACCTATCATAATACCTAATGCAGCCTGTGGTTCTCCGCACCTGTCTTTGAGCATAATCTGTTCAGCCAGTTTCACTACCCCTCCACTGTTGTCCCGCTGAAGATGCCCGTATCTGACAACAGGTAGGACTTTCTGATTAGCAACCTTAGAAAGCATGTTCCAACCCTGACAGACAATCTGCGCTCCCTGCTTGCCTCCCAAGGATATGTGGATATCAATCTTACCAATCCATACTTGCAAACACCCGAAATGCAGCACCTCTTGGCCCTCGAGTCCCGCATCATTGACCACCATACAACCGCAACCGGGGGTGTATGTTGGGCGCGCCAGCATAGTATTGCCCAACAGATCATGGTGCAGGATATCGGCAGGTACTATCTTGATGTGCTGCTAAGGCCCGATCACCCGCACAACCTCATCGCCTACCCGCAGCCGGCCATTGACACGCGCACCTTGGACACGGATGAAGCTCTGGCGCCATTCCATGTCCCACTCTCCATGCACCGACCATTTGTCTTTGAGAATAGTCTGACAAGTTTCGTCCCCCTCATGACAGAAGACAAACAGGGTTGCGACCACTTTCTTCATGGCGTTGGCGGGACAATTCAGGGGTTTGATGATTTCTGTGAGGTGTATGCCCAGTATCTGGACCGTCGCGGTGGCGTGCTTCCCTTTCGGTTTGGTCACCATATTGATGCGGAGGGGCTTGCTCACGCGCACCCGGAGGTCTTCTCGATATACCCCATCCCACTGCCCAGCACATCGCACGTCCGCTTCATGGTGCCCTGGATTCCCCGGGCCACTCGAGGTAATGGACCACGACTCGTCCTACAGCCTACCTTGGTTGTGCCGCGGGATGCGTTGCCCACGGACCAAGACTTTACTGAGATCACCGCCTGTGATACCCGTGTCGATGATGATGTCCACTTTAAAGATATGCAGCATCAAAATACACAGATGACAGCATACAGCATTGGTCCCTGGGGGGCCCGTCACCCCTTACATAAGTTTCCAACTTGGTCAGCATGGCAGTCTGTTCATGATATTAATACACTCTCCGACGCTATTGCTGGCCAACGCGACCACCATGCCCTTGAAGTTATCATCATCAAGAACATTCTCTTCAGCACGGATCCTACCAATGCCGATCTACGCTGGAAGCTGATCAACCGGTCCCACAAGGCTGCTGCCGAGGTGGCCAAGCATGCTATCCATGATTTTATCCAAGCTGAAGCTGCTCTGTTCCCGGAAAACAGCTTCTCAGGCAGCAGTCCCCACCCGCGTCTTAAAAAAGAGTAGGTTACTCTTACAGATAAAGTAATTATTAAGTAATTTATTATGCCCCGGGTTAATAATATTTATCAAGAGAATAAAGACTCTTACCGGATATCAAGTAAAAATAAGTATGCTTTTGAAAAGGATTCTGTATTAGAAATAAAGGATGAAATATAAAAGAAAATATCTAATTAGAAGAAATCCAGTAAAAGGAGAAAATTTAAAGTCTTTTTTTTGGAGATGTCCGCAGAAATTTAAAGTAGGAATATTTTTAATAATTAAAATAATAAAGTATAGAAAAGACATTATACTGAAAATAATATTGATTTTATCTTTTCGGTCTCTGATATACTAGCATCTATGGCTGGAACCTAAGATAGTGAAGCTGTTAGTAAGGCTAGCACCTCATTTCTCTTTACTGATTATAATATATTATTTAATAGCCGAATCTCTATTCTTAATAGAAGTCTCTAATCTAATAGAAAGGCAGATACTTAGTAATACTTGTGTAGATATATTATTAGTATCTGCAGTTCTGAAATTGTCAATCTTGATAACTAAATCAGGCTTTTCTAAGAATGTTCTTGTATATAGTGGTTTTTCATAGCTAGTACTTATTAAAAGAATACTTTATTATTATGTATTATATAATCCGCTAAACTAACGTAACCCACAAGCGAGTGGGCCGGCGCGCGCGTTATTCTCGCGTTCTTCAACTTGAAGCTATTCAACCACCAACAACTCCACCAGACATGCCTCAATCGTCAAAATCTTTGGTGGAACAAGAAGGTCGTATCTGTCTAGCTGTTGAGGCTATTTAAAGTAGCAGAATTTTGCATATAAACGAAGCTGCGAGCGCTTACAATGTTCCGCGTTCAACTCTGCAATGATGTATTAAAGGAGTCAAATCACGTTTAGATATACGTGTCAAGTCTATGAAACTGACTCTTCTTGAAGAAGAGGCTTTAAAGGACTGGATACTCTCACTTGTTAAGCGTGGGCTTCATCCTCAGCCATCATATGTTCAGAATATGGTATCTATTCTTCTTCAAAAACGTGCCTCGAATTCCGCAGTCTCTGTCGGCGAAAACTGGGTGTATAACTTTGTTAAGCGTACACCGGCTTTAAAGAGTCAATTCTCTTGAAGATATCATATCTAACGTGCGAAATATGAAGGTTTTAAGCTCTTAGGTGAGTGGTTCGATCAGGTTGAAGCCGTAAGAAAGAAATACGGTATTCTCAATGAAGACATCTGGAACTTGGATAAAACAGGCTTTACTATAGATATAGTGGCTACAGCACGTGTAATCACAAGATCTGACTGTATAGACAAGCTGTTTCTTATACAGCCTGGCAACCGCGAATGGGTGATCTCAATTAAGTGTATCAATGTTGCCGGTGTAGTGTTGACGCTGTACTTGATTCTTAAGAGAAAGATTCATATAGAGGCATGGTATCAAGGCCTTATTTTATCTGATTAGCGTATCAATCTATTATTAAATAGTTAAACTTTTAATAAGATTGGTTTACATTGGCTTCGTGAACACTTTATTCCTTTTACTAAGAACCGGCAGATTGGGCGATATGGTCTTCTAATTCTTGACGGACATGACTCCCTTTTGACTCCAGAATTTGATGATATATATAGTTAAAATAGCGTTATTCTTATCTATATGTTTCTGTATTCTTCTTATCTTTATTAACTGCTTGACATTGCTTGCTTTGCACCATTAAAATAAGTATACAGAAGCTTAATAGAATAGCTGATTTGCCAGGGCACCTATCATATTAATAAGATTAATTTCTTGGATATATATCCAGATGCATGTTCTCTTATCTTTAAAGGATCAATTATACGCAACGCCTTTAAGGCTTCAGGATTAGTCCTATTCCAGCCAGACGAGGTTCTTGATAGGCTGGTTATACAGCTCCGTGAGCCTACTCTAACCAGCAGTATTTCTACTACATTAACAGTGTTAAAAACACCCAAGAATACAAGGCAGTTGTGGAGACATGAAACTACTATTGAAAGGCTTCTTCGTGAACATACAATTAGCCCATCTTCGTAAATGAAAGCAGCGTTATTCTATGTTATAAAAGGATGCGAAATCGCCTTCAACCGGGCTGCTTTGCTTGAGCAGGAAGTCGACGAATTACGGGCTGGATTAGAGAGGCAAAACACCAAGAAGAAGAGGTCTTATTGCTAAATAGCCGGCCTTAACGGCCTCACTGTTGAAGAGGCTAAACTCGCGTTCAAACAGACTTGCGAGGCTGATCAAGTTAGTAGAAGTCAGCTTGTAGAATCAGCTACAGGCGAGGAACAGCCTCGCCGCCGGGCACCATCTCGCTGCAGCGAGTGTGGAACAATTAGGCATATAAGAACAAGATGTCCAACACGTCAAAACACCAGTTAAACACGTTATTTTGTTGATATAGTGGACTATATAAGCTTCATCTTTTCATGGAGGCATGTTTGGCCGGGCGCGCCGGCCCACTCGCTTGTGCGGCCCACTCGCTTGTGGATTACGTTAATACTATAAACATAAGTAACTGTCAAACCCTAGGATCGCTTCTCCCTGTTCCTGTTAGCTTAGCTTCCGTTCCAATACGTACCTTCGAACTGAATCGAGGTAAGTCAGACTGATGACTATCTAAAGGTGACTGGTCCTGAACAAGAGAAGAGAAGTAAGGCCAGATAGTGCCGTGCAGCTATCCATAAGTAAGTGCGGACGAGTGTTGTTGCTAAGCTTTCTAAACATATGGTTACTTAAAGACGATTGTATTGAGCACGAAGAACAGAACTAACTAAGTACATGAAAGAGTGTCCTTATATCCTATCCTTCGTCATGGCATCGCCATGTCATGTCATGTCGCTTGATATGTTATTTCATGTCGCTGCCATGTCCTGTCATAGCGCTGCCATGTCCTGTCACAGCGCTGACATGTTATAGCTTGTCGGTGACATGTCCATCATGGTCACGTGCCGTGTAACGGCTCCGGGTGTTGGTTACTCAGATCGGGATTCTATTCGATAAGAGTTCTCATCCGTCCGGACGTAGCCTTCTGCCTGACGTGTCCGCCTCACTAGTCGTTCAGCTAGCAGGGGTCCGTAACAGTAACCTCTTATCATAAAACGCGTATATGTTTAATATCTTTTAACTCTACTTAATATAGCTTTCTCTTTGCTGTTTATTATTGCTGTAAAATTAACTGAGATCTTAAAATATAGAGATAAAAGTTAATAATTAATGCCTATTTAAGCTCTTTATTTTAAAGAATATCATTATATTGAAGATTTTTGTAGATAATTCTTAGGATATTGATTTCCTATTTTAATCTGTAAATCTCTTGATTAAGCCATGGTACTAATTTTATTCTTACTGTGCTTTTATTTTTTTAATTTATAATTAGTATGTGATGAATTACACCAGCTTTATAAAGAAAATAAGTCTTTATTAAGTTAATTATTTTAAGAAATATAAATATAATAGATACTTATATCTTTTATAGTAGTTAGTATATTTATGTTTTATATGATATATCTTCTTATAATCCTGAAGTAATTCCTTTTTTAATAACAGTATAGTTATATATAATATAGATAAGTCTAAGCAGGGTATTATATACTCCACAATTTCTATAAAAGAATATTAATTAAGGTTTTTATTTAATTATGCTTTAAGTAAATTTATGAAATCTTTCAAGATAGTGGAATATTAGAAATTATTATTATTCTAGTAGTAAAACATCATGTTAAGATAATAGTTATCTGTCAAACCTTAGGATCGCTTCTCCCTGTTCCTGTTAGCTTAGCTTTTACCGGTATACGTACCTTCGAACTGAATCGAGGTAGTCAGGCTGATGACTATCTAAGGACAACTGGTCTTGAACAAGAGAAGAGAAGTAAGGCCAGATAGTGCCGCGCAGCTATCTGTAAGTAAGTATAGATAAGTATTATTACTAAGCTTTTTAAACATATAGTTACTTAAAGATAATTATATTAAGCACGAAGAATAGAACTAGCTAAGTATATAAAAGAGTGTTCTTATATCCTATTCTTTATATACTATATTATATACCATTCAGGGTAGATTATGGATTGATCTAATCATAATCCTGGATCTTGTATACCTTGCGTATACTATTAATGATAGATCCAGTGGTAAATAATCATGTGACACAGCGCCGCTCCGGACATTACTCAGACCGGGATTCTACTTAATAAGAGTCACTGGTTGTCCGAGACTTGCCTTGTTATTGCTTTCTACCTAATAAGTCTGCTCCACTAGTAATCTGGCTAGCAGGGGTCTGTAACATTACTCTTCCTTTTTCAAGGTTTCTTATTCTCAAGAAATATAAAGATATATATCCTCTCTATATATCAGTTAGGTTTCTCAGTCTTCTTTTTCTCATGATAGATTAATATATCTTATTATTATACTAATCATGATCAGGTAAAGGAGCGCATTCACCAGTTTAATAAGATCTATAAGAGTAGTTACATTATTAAGAGTTTCTGCGAATACTGCTGTCAAACCCTAGGATCGCTTCTCCCTGTTCCTGTTAGCTTAGCTTCCGTTCTGGGTCGTACCTCTGAACTGAATCAAGGTAAGTCAGGTTGATGACTATCTAAAGAGAACTGGTCCTAAACAGAAGAAGAGAAGTAAGGCTAGATAGTGCTGCGCAGCTATCCGTAAGTAAGTATAGATAAGTATTATTATTAAGCTTTATTAAAACATATGGTTACTTAATAACAGTGTTATTGAGCATAAAGAACAGAACTAGCTAAGTATATAAAGAAGTGTTCTTATATATCCTATCCCTCATATACTATTCCGTATATCATTAGGTCTACTGTATACCTGTCTGGTAGTTATAGACCATGATAGTATATTATATACTACATGTTTGTCCGTATACTATTGTTATATGACATGTGACACGTGATGACTCAGCTCGGGACTTTAACGTAATTCCCGGGTCGTCCGATCATCCCGGGTCATCCGATCACCCATCAAAAATAT